CCACATGAAAAGGTTATATATAAGGGGAGATTTGAATCTGAAATTGTTTGTTTGGTTTGGTTGAAAGAAGAAGAAATTACGGATTTTTTTGATTGTATTTTACGAAAAGGATAAGTTGTGGGGAAGCATCAATTCAGCTTTAATTCTCATCAGGTTTGACAAATTGAGGTCGTTTTCCCTAATTGAGGATCGATTAAGAGTTAAACTTCATATTGAACAGCCGAATGCTCAATTTATGTTGAACACCCAAATTTGCTCCTCCACATCCATTTGTTGAGCTCCTAGAATTCATCACAATACATTTAATCTTATCATTTAGATTCAAAACAACCGATAAAACCCAAACTTATTTGTTCAAATTTGAAAATTACTAATCCATATCCGACAATTGGATACAAATTTGGATCAAAATTGATTTATTTTTAGGGCGGATTTCATAAATTGAGTCTTTTTTCAGGTATAAACTGGATTCTAAGGCTAAAGGCCCAATGGCCCCAACCTCCCAATGGACAGCACATATGATTGGGCTTTGCCCAACCCCTCTTTACATAATCGGTGTTTTAGCCTCCTGGCAAAAGTGAGATAATTAAGGAGTAAATATCATGATTCGAATCTTATTATTATTAAAGTCAAATGAATTGATGTGCTTATACCCTTACATCTGGTTGATAAAGGTGTCGTGTTATGATATAACACTGGTGTTTAAGTCATTCTTAATTACGATATTAATTTTAAGATAATTTTATATATTTCAACTAATTTTTTGAAAAAATAATTCTTAATTTTTTAATAATATATCAAAATGAAATTTTGAACCTTGGTTTATATATATAATTGAGTAATATATTCTATAAAACTAAGTTAAAATTTAGATGTAACTTGCTAGAATTTAGCTCTAATTGGATAATTTTTTTTTTTAACAGGCCTGCGAATGCTTTGTAAAAATAAAGTTTGCCAAATATTAAGATCGCATATGATTCAACTTATGTTATCATCAAGATTTTATTTGGTGACAGATTTACTTACTATATCTCCCTTAAATGTGAAAAAGAGAATTAAAAGATACTCGGTTCCATTTTCATTTGGCACATTACATAGTGACAAAGAGCACAACAAATAATATAATCAACATGTAAACAAACAAACAAATGTGAGTGACTATATGACCTGTTCTATAATTTACCAAGTAAGAGCAAAGCAATTCAAATAAATTAAACTTGAGTAATGAGGCCACAAGTATATTGCATCAGGTTAGGACGCTAGTTTAACAACAAAGAGTTATTTAATTTTGACAAACATTAAATTCATACTCGGATGTTGTATTCGCAAATGTGATGTGTGCTTTTCATGTAAAATTTTATCCTCCACACATTGATTATGATGTTATCCTTCACAACATGACGATGCTTAGTATTAATCATATCTCTTAGGTTGGGATACTAGTTTAACCAAATTGAATTTTTTAACTTCAACCAATTTTAACTTAATAGCCGAATTTCACATTTGTAAATGAGATAAATATTTTCTAAGTAATTTTTTTAATAAAATGGTAGGAGATTGATTAATTAGAAATATCCGAGAGAATGAGGGATACTAACAATTTTGGTGCCTCCTCCTCCCATACATCAAAACAATTGATAGAAACCGCTTTTCTAGCTAAGCTATATGCTATCTTATTACTAAAACTTCTTACGGTAGACACCTTAAAGTATCTAAAGTCATGGAAAATAATCTTAATATCTACTTGAATAGAATTCAGAGACTAGAAATTATCACTTGTATCTGAAATCAACTTCATCACATTAACTGAGTCATCTTCCAAAATAATATTATTGTACTCTTGTTGTTGAACGAAAATAACTACTCCGCTTGTGGCAACGACCTCCGCCGATCGCGCGAAACAAAAAAGATGTAATTTTCTTAGACATTCCTACTCTAAAACACCTCTCTCATTCCTTATAAATACTACTAGTCCAATGGCTTCTTCAGAAGCAATCACTGTCCCATCGAAGTTAACTTTCAAATATCCTACTACTGGAGCGAACCAACGAGCTACAGCCTTTTTCGTTAGTGGCTGATTACGGGTGTCCATAGCCTGTTCATAATACTTGATGTAGTCTAATGAGATTTGGTGTAAAGTGGCTAGATCCCTTTTCAAATTTTAGAAAAGAACCTCATTCCTATTTGTCCATATAAACCAGCAATGAACGAGAAAAAAGGGGGAGTTGTTGGGAAGTCATCTGTACAAATCCAGCACACTAGAGCGGAGTGGTCCAGTGAAGTATCGGTCAAACTTCTCACCTTGAGGTTAGAAGTTTGAGCCTTAATCGTTATGCTAGTCTAACTAGGTTCGTTTTTAAGAGTAGTAACAGGCGTGATTAAAGTCCTCAAGATCCCACTAATAAAAATCTATCGAGTGGTCTCTAAACTTTCTCTTTTGTACCCGCCCCATTTTTAACCGGCAAAACAAAAAAAATATCCAGCAACCACTATTTTAAGTGAGAATATGGANTCGAGTGGTCTCTAAACTTTCTCTTTTGTACCCGCCCCATTTTTAACCAGCAAAGCAAAAAAAATATCCAGCAACCACTATTTTAAGTGAGAATATGGAGACTGTGCACCAGTTGAAGGGTGTCAAATGGGTGGGTTGAGTTAGTTATGAGGTGGATTAAATTAAATTGGGCTAAAATAAATTAAATCTATTTTTACTTACCTAGTAAATAGGTTATAATAGGTTTCAGGTTGGATTAAATAGATTAACTCATAAAATAATTAAAATTCTAAATAGACACATTAGTACACTAAAACACACACACATATTAGTAGTGCACCAAAATACAAATATCCACAAATACAATAATACACCAAAATACACACAAACTAATACACTAAAAATATACACATTAATATATTAAAAATACACACACATATACTAACACAAAAATTAAAACATATTTAATAAAAAAAATATACACATAATGAGTCAGGGTCAATTGTGGGCTATGGGTTAGTTTGTGGGTCGTGTTTATGGGTCGACCCACGAGTCATGGGTCAACCCATGGCTGTGGGTCATGAGTGGTGTATTAGTGTGTGTTTTTTGTGTACTAGTGTGTTTATTATTTTGGTGTATTAGGGTATATGTGTGTATATATTTTTTGGTTTATTAGTATATTTATTTAATTTTATTATTTGTGTTATTTAATAAAAAGATAAATATTCAACCTAATAGGTACCCATTTGTAATTCATATTAACTCATTTTATTAAAATAAATTATATTACTCAATCCATTTAGAATTCATATTAATTAATATAAGTACCCAACTCATTTATTTATAAGTAGGTTAGACAGATTAATGGATAATGAGTTAAGATTGCCACTTCCAAATTGAAGCAAAAACCAGGCAGCCCAAGATTTTATAGCCCATTATATTTGAGCCATTTATTACATGGGTGAAAAAAAAAAAAAACAAAGCAAGACCCATGTAACCCCCAATTAAATGGGTCTTTTAGATCAATTTAAAGTCCACAAGATAATCATTCAACCCATAATAATTATAGACATGTTCATCATAGAAATTATATACACGTCAAATTCATGCATCCAACATATTCATCAACAATGTTAGGGCAACTAAGGAGTGCACAACTGCTAATGGGTTGGGCTGAAATTAAAATTGAACAAGTTCTAGACCCAATTCCTATGCATACTTATTTAAACGATGGATAAACATATTGATATATTTCATCCAAATACGCCCTGTGTAACATACGAGTTTCACGGTCTGCCCATTTATCATTCGAACTCGTTAAGGTTAAATTCAGACTCACTAATTTCATATCGATTATTGTCGAGTAATCAAATCGTTCTATATTTTTCCTTTCCTAATCGTAGTATTGTTTTTTTATGTTAACTCTAAAATTTTTAGGACGAGACTTATATTTATTTATTTTTTAAACAAACAAGATTTTGTTAAGTTGAGTTGAATTGAAAAAAGCCTTACTTTTATACGGCTAATATCGGTCAAACAATTAAACTAAAAAAAGAAGACTTAATGCACAATCCCTCGAACCCTTGCTTCCACTAAAATAGAGTGGCAGGTCAAAAGTTTAATTTTTATTATCGGCACTTTTCTATTGTTGCTTATCAAAAAATTAAAAAATAATAAAAAGAAATTTGAGCCGGTTCAAAAAATTCAAAATTAGACCACACAAGTTACTTCATTGTGTATTGCTCGGAAATCTAGGCATATGCATTAAATCCTACTTGAATTTGTAGACAAAGATTTGACATCCAAAAAATTTTAGACAATATATACCGGAAGAATCAAAATAAAGGGATTAAAATGCAGAGCCTTAAATGATGATAGACTATTCAACACTTTATCATAATACAATAATGGGCCTCTATTAAGGTAGCTTAGGTAACTTTTTTACCGGCTTATGCCAATATTTTTTTGGACCAAAAAAAACTTATTTAAGTTGATTCAAGAAGCTAATCTTATGAACTTTCTTTTAATTTTTTAAAATTTTATCGCTGATCTTGCATAACTTTTTTAGTTTATTGTATTCATGAAATATTATTAGTGAAGTAAAAAAATTTGAAATTCATATTTTGGAAATTATTACGTATAATCTATACATACATATAATTATTTTTTTATTTAGACACAAAACATCAAAAAAGTTAAAAATGTCTCTCCAACCGGACTTTTCCAATTTTTTAAAAAACACCCCAAAAGATTTTCAGAGACTTTTTAACTTTGTTTTTTTTGTGAAATTTTTTAAACCATAACTTTTCATCTAAAAAAATCAAATTCTAAAGAGGCTCAATATCTCCATCTTTAGACAATTTATCTGCCAAAAAAACTAAATTCAGGATTCACTTGTGAATATCAAAGCTTACAATGCACCACTAGGTCATGCACATCATCCATCCAAAAATCTTTCCATTTTCATTCCAACTTGTAAAACAACAGAAATTTAGGCATTAGTGATATACTACTGAGCCACCACCTTAATCCCATCCTTATTGGCCACCACCAGAGGATTGATCATCTCTTGAATCCGGGACAAGTGCTTCCCTCCATTAAGGTGAGCAGCCATGTCAATCTCTCCGGAACACCTTACATTACAGATACTGCAAAACCCCGGTTGGCCACCTACAGGATTGAGCATCTGTTCAACCCGGGAAAAGTGCTTCTTTCCATTAATATGACCAACNCGGAACACCTTACATTACAGATACTGCAAAGCCCCGGTTGGCCACCTACTGGATTGAGCATCTGTTCAACCCGGGAAAAGTGCTTCTTTCCATTAATATGACCAACCATGACACTCTCTGCGGAACACCTTACATTACAGATACCACACTCCCACCCTTTTTCGCCACCACAAAGATCTAACATCTCTTTAATCCGAGACAAGTGCTTACTTCCATTGAGGTGAGCGGCCATGTCAATCTCTCCGGGGAACCTTACATCACAGATACTGCACCACCGTTTAGACAGCTTCGTCCCAGCATTACTAGTATTAGTACTTCTCTGCTTAAATTGCTCACTGTTGCTGCTATTCACCGGCATTTTTAACTCTTGTTCTGCAGTCTTATATTTGCTTGGCTTATCCCTAGATACACACTTGATTGACTCCTTTTTGGCTTGATCTGATTTGTTTGGTGTCAAACATGAAGAACCCGTGTTTTTGGCTGCCTGCTTACTAGCTTTGAGCTCATCCAACGTTGCCCTATGTTTCTGCCCTTGAAGATGGCTGTTCAAGTTTGCCTCACATGCGGTTGTCACCTGGCATAGAGCACAAGTCCACTCTTTCTGAACTTTCTTCAGGGCAGCTGGCTCCGGAAGCTTGTCCTCTTTACAAGCTGCTGGCTCTGTCATTTCTTTGACNTACAATAATGGGCCTCTATTAAGGTAGCTTAGGTAACTTTTTTACCGGCTTATGCCAATATTTTTTTGGACCAAAAAAAACTTATTTAAGTTGATTCAAGAAGCTAATCTTATGAACTTTCTTTTAATTTTTTAAAATTTTATCACGGATCTTGCATAACTTTTTTAGTTTATTGTATTCATGAAATATTATTAGTGAAGTAAAAAAATTTGAAATTCATATTTTGGAAATTATTACGTATAATCTATACATACATATAATTATTTTTTTATTTAGACACAAAACATCAAAAAAGTTAAAAATGTCTCTCCAACCGGACTTTTCCAATTTTTTAAAAAACACCCCAAAAGATTTTCAGAGACTTTTTAACTTTGTTTTTTTTGTGAAATTTTTTAAACCATAACTTTTCATCTAAAAAAATCAAATTCTAAAGAGGCTCAATATCTCCATCTTTAGACAATTTATCTGCCAAAAAAACTAAATTCAGGATTCACTTGTGAATATCAAAGCTTACAATGCACCACTAGGTCATGCACATCATCCATCCAAAAATCTTTCCATTTTCATTCCAACTTGTAAAACAACAGAAATTTAGGCATTAGTGATATACTACTGAGCCACCACCTTAATCCCATCCTTATTGGCCACCACCAGAGGATTGATCATCTCTTGAATCCGGGACAAGTGCTTCCCTCCATTAAGGTGAGCAGCCATGTCAATCTCTCCGGAACACCTTACATTACAGATACTGCAAAACCCCGGTTGGCCACCTACAGGATTGAGCATCTGTTCAACCCGGGAAAAGTGCTTCTTTCCATTAATATGACCAACCATGACACTCTCTGCGGAACACCTTACATTACAGATACCACACTCCCACCCTTTTTCGCCACCACAAAGATCTAACATCTCTTTAATCCGAGACAAGTGCTTACTTCCATTGAGGTGAGCGGCCATGTCAATCTCTCCGGGGAACCTTACATCACAGATACTGCACCACCGTTTAGACAGCTTCGTCCCAGCATTACTAGTATTAGTACTTCTCTGCTTAAATTGCTCACTGTTGCTGCTATTCACCGGCATTTTTAACTCTTGTTCTGCAGTCTTATATTTGCTTGGCTTATCCCTAGATACACACTTGATTGACTCCTTTTTGGCTTGATCTGATTTGTTTGGTGTCAAACATGAAGAACCCGTGTTTTTGGCTGCCTGCTTACTAGCTTTGAGCTCATCCAACGTTGCCCTATGTTTCTGCCCTTGAAGATGGCTGTTCAAGTTTGCCTCACATGCGGTTGTCACCTGGCATAGAGCACAAGTCCACTCTTTCTGAACTTTCTTCAGGGCAGCTGGCTCCGGAAGCTTGTCCTCTTTACAAGCTGCTGGCTCTGTCATTTCTTTGACCTCCACCGCTGCAACTACTTTCTTCTTAGTCTGAAAAGGATTGGAGTTAGCATGATTAAAATGTAGAAGTTGCTAAGCAAGGTTGATGACCATGTTTGTTCACTGGTTCTGCTTAATTTAGAAATGGCAAATTATAAATTAGGTCTCCATGGTTTCATTCAGTAACACTTTACCTCCTTGTGCTTCAAAGACCCATACATGACACCATGGTTTGGAACCAATGTTGGAGTTCAGCAATTTAGTAGAAAAAAGATAGTAATACCGTTCACCATGTTTTTAATTTTTAATTGTTTTTCTTTGTGAATTTTTTATACACATTTAAAAATATGTTTTATGCATAAAATGGAAGAGAAAATAAAAACAATTGGTTTATTTTAAAGAAAAATAAGAAACATAAAATTTATAATGCTATAAAAGTCATTTTAACACTTTATTTCACTAAAAATGTTGATTTTGAACTTTAACCATTAATTACAGTTCGAGTTTTGTCGAAAACCATAGGGGTTAAGTTTATAATATTAATGATATGGAGGAGGTAACACATTACTGATTCAAACCACTGGTGGGTAATCTATAGTTTCCCTATTTAGGAACAATAAAAGAACACAGCTACTACCAAGAAGCTGATGTGCAAAATGATGTAAGATAGCTAAAACATCAAAAAACTTTTTCATGTTTTGTCGGGAGAAAATTGATAGTAATAAATGAATCTGGAAAAGGCAACAACGATGATGAATGTGAAGAGAATTTGATATATTATAACCCAGTTTCACTGCATATCATCACTATTGTTCGTGTTGCATTACTAATCAAAAAACATCAGAACCGGGCAATCCAAGTGCATTCCCCACATTCAGACAGCTGACTTAGAAATTCTTTCCAAAACATAGAAACTTGGCTTCCTAGTACCCATTAATAGAAGCCTTTGAAACTAAGTTCCTAGTGCCCATTGATAGAAGACTTACCCTTTTTGCGGCCGCTGCTGCATTTTTCTCTGGTGGTTCCACAACTTTGACATCTTTCTGACCAATGTTTGGCTCTTTACACTTTGACAGCAAGCAAAGAAAAAAAGTGGAAGGTAAACACTGTTAGAGTAGTTAGAATATTTAGTCTTAAGGGTAGTTTAGTCCATTTATTATTTTTTGTTGCCCTATTATATAAGGGCCTTTTGTATGCATTTTTCTATTATGTTGTAATACAATCATTCTCTATTGTCTTTTCTCTTTCTCTCTTTCTCTCTTTGCTTTTATCAAAGTTTACATGGTATCAGAGTATAGTCTCGATCCAAAATATATATTGTAGCACCACAGTAATTTAGTTGGAAGAAGAATATATTTTTGGGTTGTGTGATTTGAGGGCTAGTGATAGGCCGGTTGCTATTTGTGGTTCTAAGGGGCTGTGAACAGTGTCGAAAACACTGTTCATGTTGTAAGCAGTGCCGACATTACTGTTTATGCTGTGAACAGTGCCGAATTTCAATTTTTAGTGCCTCTTTTTTTTTAGTATATTGCCTCCTTGGTGTTCAATTGGATGCTTTGAAGCATTTTGAACTGGTTTTTGATGCAAAGGAATGGGATTTTTGGCTGATTTCCTCCTTCGGCAAACACTATAACGACTGGTTTATCACTTCTTCTTTGGCTTCTGCTTTTTGCGGCTCACACCATCTTCCTACCTTGTCTGTTACTGCTCTTTGATCTGTTAATTGTTGGTTTGTAAGTTGTGGGTGTGAGGTGTGAGCGATNTCTGCTGCTCACACCATCTTCCTACCTTGTCTGTTACTGCTCTTTGATCTGTTAATTGTTGGTTTGTTAGTTGTGGGTGTGAGGTGTGAGCGATTGGTGGCCCATNTTTGCGGCTCACACCATCTTCCTACCTTGTCTGTTACTGCTCTTTGATCTGTTAATTGTTGGTTTGTAAGTTGTGGGTGTGAGGTGTGAGCGATTGGTGGCCCATGCAAGTTGTGAGCTTGTGCAGAATTTTAGCTTTGGTTATTGCTCTGTTGCTTCGTTGTTGCTGGTTTTGAATATTTTTCTCTCCTTGGCTTGCTGGAAGACTNTTGGTTATTGCTCTATTGCTTCGTTGTTGCTGGTTTTGAATATTTTTCTCTCCTTGGCTTGCTGGAAGACTTTGTTGCCTACTTAGTTTTGTCGTTTTTCGCTGCTATTGTTCTGCTTTGGGTCTGTTCGTTGCTCCTGTTCGCTGCTTTGTGATTGCAGTTACTGATAGTTTGAACTGAGCTGAAATTTTGTTGTTCTTTATTACTTTGGGCTATTGGGTTGTTTGATATTTGTTGTTTGGGCTGTTGGATTGATTGATTGACTATTGTCTTCCAGCTGGGACTTTGATTTTCCATTGGGCTGTAATTGTTGGGTCAGTTTGGCTTCTATTCTTGCTGGGCCTTTGAACTTCAGTTGAGATTGGTGATTTGAAATTGGTTCTATTAATTTGATTGTTGTTATTTTTGACTAGTGACAATTATGGTGAGCGACAATTTTGACTCTCATCTGTCAATTNCATCAGTTGAGATTAGTGATTTGGAATTGGTTCTGTTAATTTGATTGTTGTTATTTTTGACTAGTGACAATTATGGTGAGCGACAATTCTGACTCTCATCTGTCAATTAGTTTAAAATTGACTAAGATTGTTGNGAGATTGGTGATTTGAAATTGGTTCTATTAATTTGATTGTTGTTATTTTTGACTAGTGACAATTATGGTGAGCGACAATTTTGACTCTCATCTGTCAATTAGTTTAAAATTGACTAAGATTGTTGATCAATTGCAGGAGCTCCTTCAACAGCCTAATACTCTCTCCATCTCACATTCTATAGGTTCGTTCACTTTGGGTCCTTCAGGTATATCTCGAACCACCTGGGTCTTTGACTCAGGTGCTACCCATCATATGATTAGTGATTCTTCCTTATTTGCATCGACCTTTTCTCCTCCATCAGTTTCTGTGCTTGAAGTTAATGGTACACAATTGTCATTAGCTAGTGTTGGATCTATAATTTCTCCGCATCTTAACACTTCCTGATGTTTATTATATTCCACAACTTACCATCAATTTAATTTCAGTCAGTCAGCTATTTGACTCTGGATTTTCAGTTCATTTTTCCTCTTCTGGTTGTATTGTATAGGATCCACGTTCCAAAAAACTGATTGGGACNCCATTGTCATTAGCTAGTGTTGGATCTATAATTTCTCCGCATCTTAACACTTCCTGATGTTTATTATATTCCACAACTTACCATAAATTTAATTTCAGTCAGTCAGCTATTTGACTCTGGATTTTCAGTTCATTTTTCCTCTTCTGGTTGTATTGTATAGGATCCACGTTCCAAAAAACTGATTGGGACAGGTAGTAGAAAGGGAGGATTGTATGTGTTAGACGAGTTACATATTCCTGACATTGTTGCTTCTACTATTGATATATCTTCTTTTCATTTAAGTCCACAGTCTTCTAGTTTCTATTTGTGACATTCTCGTCTTGGTCAAATGTCCCACTCGTTTAAAATTTTTAGCCTCTACTGGNTAGGACAGGTAGTAGAAAGGGAGGATTGTATGTGTTAGACAAGTTACATATTCCTGACATTGTTGCTTCTACTATTGATATATCTTCTTTTCATTTAAGTCCACAGTCTTCTAGTTTCTATTTGTGACATTCTCGTCTTGGTCAAATGTCCCACTCGTTTAAAATTTTTAGCCTCTACTGGGAATTTGGGTAATTTAGAGTGTCATGATATTTCCAGTTGTAGTGGATGCAAGTTAGCTAAATTTACTACATTACTTTTTAATAAAAATTCCACTAGCTCACTTGCACCTTTTGATCTGGTTCATTCTGATGTTTGGGGGCCAGCTCCTATTCTTATAAAAGGAGGGTCAAAATATTATGTCTCTTTCATTGATGATTATACTAGATTTTGTTAGGTTTATCTCATGAAACATTGTTCTGAATTCTTTTCTGTATTCAATGTTTTTCGTGCTATGATACGTACTCAATATTTATCTGTTATTAAATGTTTTCNGGCCAGCTCCTATTCTTATAAAAGGAGGGTCAAAATATTATCTCTTTCATTGATGATTATACTAGATTTTGTTAGGTTTATCTTATGAAACATTGTTCTGAATTCTTTTCTGTATGCAATGTTTTTCGTGCTATGATACGTACTCAATATTTATCTGTTATTAAATGTTTTCGATGTGACCAAGGAGGAGAATATTTTTTCAACTCTTTTCTTGATCTATTAAAATCTGATGGTACTGTTTGGCAATCTTCTTGTACTGATACACCTGAACAGAATAGTGTAGCAGAGCGCAAACACCGACATATTATAGAGACAACACGCTCTTTCTTACTGTCAGCAAATGTCCCAAGTTCTTTTTTAGGGGAAGCAGTTCTTAGTGCAGTCCATCTGATTAATTTTATTCCCACTGTCACCACCTCTGGAATTTCTCTATTTGAAAAACTATGTGGTAAGCCACCTGATTATTTCTCTTTGCGTGTACTTGGGTGCACCTGTTTTGTTTTACTTCCNATTGTCCCAAGTTCTTTTTGGGGGGAAGCAATTCTTAGTGCAGTCCATCTGATTAATTTTATTCTCACTGTCATCACCTCTGGAATTTCTCTATTTGAAAAACTATGTGGTAAACCACCTGATTATTTCTCTTTGCGTGTACTTGGGTGCACCTGTTTTGTTTTACTTCCTAGTGTTTTTTGTGCTAAACTCTCTGCTCGTTCAGCTTAATGTATTTTCCTTGATTATGTTGAGGGTCAAAAGAGGTATCGTTGCTATAATCCTGTTTCACACAAACTCTATGTCTCTCGTCCTGTTATTTTCATGGAGCATATTCCTTTCTTTTCTATTCTATCTAGTTCTTCACATTTCCATAAATTTGATCTCATTTATATTGACTCATTTCTGGCTGATGTTCCCTCTGACACTTATGTTAGTGATATGACTGTTTCTGATGTGCCCATCACTCGTCCCCCTATTGTGCATATATATGTTCGTAGGAATTCAGTTATCTCCTCTACAGATGTGGTGCCTCCCCTTTCTTCTCCTGCCACCCAATCAGGTTTNTTCATAAATCTGATCTCATTTATATTGACTCATTTCTGGTTGATGTTCCCTCTGACACTTATGTTGGTGATATGACTGTTTCTGATGTGCCCATCACTCGTCCCCCTATTGTGCATATATATGTTCGTAGGAATTCAGCTATCTCCTCTATAGATGTGGTGCCTCCCCTTTCTTCTCCTGCCACCCAATCAGGTTTAGACAATGTGGATCATACCCCGCGCTATCCTCAACGCTCTCGCAAATATCCAGATAGGTTTGATTGGAGTAACACTTGTTATTCTCCTGACTTTTGTTCTTTCTTTACTTCTATTTACTCCTTATCTGAACCCATCTCCTACAATCCACTTTGNCCTCTACAGATGTGGTGCCTCCCCTTTCTTCTCCTGCCACCCAATCAGGTTTAGACAATGTGGATCATACCCCGCGCTATCCTCAGTGCTCTCGCAAATATCCAGATAGGTTTGATTGGAGTAACACTTGTTATTCTCCTGACTTTTGTTCTTTCTTTACTTCTATTTACTCCTTATCTGAACCCATCTCCTACAATCCACTTTGCAAACAGGCTATGGAAGAAGAGTTGTCTGCCTTACATAAGATCAGAGCTTGGGAACTAGTGCCTTTATCACCCGGTAAACGCCCCATTAGTTGTAGGTGGGTTTATAAGATAAAAACCAAGTCTGATGGTTCTGTGGAAAGGTATAAAGCTCGATTAGTAACCAAGGATTTTGCTTAGAAGTATGGTATAGACTATGATGAGACTTTTGCCCCTGTTGCAAAGATGACCACTATTTGCACTGTGATTGCAGTTGTTGTCATTCGCCAATGGAATTTGTCTTAGATGGATGTGAAAAATGCATTTCTTCATGGAGATTTAAGTGAAGAGGTTTTTATGACTCCTCTTGGATTATCTCCTAGGGCATAGTTTGCCAAATTTTCTTCNTTGTTGTCATTCGCCAATGGAATTTGTCTTAGATAGATGTGAAAAATGCATTTCTTCATGGAGATTTAAGTGAAGAGGTTTTTATGACTCCTCTTGGATTATCTCCTAGGGCATAGTTTGCCAAATTTTCTTCGGTTATTTGTGACTTGAATTTTCACGCTAGTGACCATGATTCTGCTCTCTTTTTACGGTCTACTTCCTCAGGTTCTATTATTCTCTTACTATATGTTGATGATATGATTATTATGGGTAATGACACTGCTAGCATATACTTATTGAAAACTCAGTTGCAGAACTATTTTGAGATAAAAGATTTGGGACAGCTTAGATATTTCTTGGGTATTGAGATTGCATCCTCTCCTAAAAGATATCTTCTCTCTCAGTCCAAGTATACTTCAGATGTTATTCAATGAGCTCATTTATCAGATAATCGGATAGTTGAAACACCTTTAGAGCTCAATGTTCGTTACTCTTCTTCTGATGGTACTCCCCTGTCTGACCCTACGCTCTATCGTGATATTGTTGGGAGTTTAGTATATCTTACAGTCACTCGTCCGGATATCTCCTATGTTGTTCATATTGTTAGCTAATTTGTTGCCTCACCCACCACTATTCACTGGGCTGCGGTTCTTCATATTCTTCGGTATCGTCGAGGTACTCTGCACAAGAGTTTGTTATTCTCCTCCTCTTTTTCTATGAAACTCAAGGCTTATTCTGATGCTGACTGGGCTGATGACTCTATGGACTGTAAGTCCATTACGGGTTTTTGTATTTTCCTTGGTGATTCTCTTGTTTCTTGAAAAAGCAAGAAGTAAACTGTTGTTTNCCACCACTATTCACTGGGCTGCGGTTCTTCATATTCTTCGGTATCTTCGAGGTACTCTGCACAAGAGTTTGTTATTCTCCTCCTCTTTTTCTATGAAACTCAGGGTTTATTCTGATGCTGACTGGGCTGGTGACTCTATGGACTGTAAGTCCATTACGGGTTTTTGTATTTTCCTTGGTGATTCTCTTGTTTCTTGAAAAAGCAAGAAGCAAACTGTTGTTTCTCGTTCATCTGCTGAAGCTGAATATCGTGCTATGGCATCTACTGTAACTGAGATAGTTTGGTTACGATGGCTCTTTGCTGATCTTGGCATCATGTTACCTGCACTNTCTTGTTTCTTGAAAAAGCAAGAAGTAAACTGTTGTTTCTCGTTCATCTGCTGAAGCTGAATATCGTGCTATGGCATCTACTGTAACTGAGATAGTTTGGTTACGATGGCTCTTTGCTGATCTTAGCATCATGTTACCTGCACTGACTCCTATGTATTATGACAATACTAGTGTTATTCAGATTACTCATAACTCAGTCTTTCATGAGCGCACAAAGCATATTGAGATTGATTGTCACTTTGTGCATCATCATCTTCAGCTGGGCACTATCTCCCTCCCTTTTCTTTCTTCCACTATGCAGTTAGTAGATTATTTTACAANTGGCATCATGTTACCTGCACTGACTCCTATGTATTATGACAATACTAGTGTTATTCAGATTGCTCATAACTCAGTCTTTCATGAGCGCACAAAGCATATTGAGATTGATTGTCACTTTGTGCATCATCATCTTCAGCTGGGCACTATCTCCCTCCCTTTTCTTTCTTCCACTATGCAGTTAGTAAATTATTTTACAAAATCGCATACTATTACTCGCTTTCGTTTTCTTCTTGGCAAACTCTTGATGTTTTCTGCTAGCACATCATGAGTTTGAGGGAGGGTATTAGAGTAGTTAGAATATTTAATCTTAAGGGTCGTTTAGCCCTTTTATTCTTTTATGTTGCCCTACTATATAAGGGTCTTTTGTATGCATTTTTCTNGCCCTTTTATTCTTTTATGTTGCCCTACTATATAAGGGTCTTTGGTATGCATTTTTCTATTATGTTGTAATACAATCATTCTCTATTGTCTCTTTCTCTATTTACTTACCCTTTTTGCGGCCGCTGCTGCATTTTTCTCTGGTGGTTCCACAGCTTTGACATCTTTCTGAGCAATGTTTGGCTCTTTGCACTTTGATAGCAAGCAAAAAAAAAAGTGGAAGGTAAACACAGCTAATTGAGCATATTGAGAAACCTTAGAAACTTAGTTTCCCAATACCCATTAATAGAGACCTTACCGATTTCACGGCTGCGGCTGATGCTGCTGCATTTTTCTCGTTTGATTTCAAAGTTTTGACATCATTCTGAACAATGTTTGGCTCATTGCACTTTGACAGCAAAAAGAGAAAAAGGTAAACTGGATAATTAAGTATATTAAGTAATGCATTCTACATAAAAATACATGACATCAGTCATCATTTTCTCTCCATAAAATATTAAAACAATAAATGCAACTTCAGTGATTAATATAAATCGAAGGCATAATTGATGTGTTTTCAATGACACTGGTGCTAGATTTCAAAAGTTACAGTTCCATATGTGCCCATTCATTGATGAGAGTGGCTTGAAACCACATGGTTTTAGTCCATTTACTTACTTATATCATATGTCTAAAAATGAAATGGCTGTGGACGACACCATGACAATGCAAATGTAGTACTATGCTTTTTTCACTTTAAAACTAAGGGTGTCTCTAAAATCCATCTAAAAAGATTACAACCACTTGGCTATCAGAAAATATGCATATACTATTTTGTGGAATCTAGGAGCGGCAACATTAAAATCATCACCTGGACTATTGTCGCCACTTCTTTCTCCTCTGCATTTGCAACTGACTTGATTTCTTCCACAATGAGAATGGAATTTGAATCCTTTGACCGAAGTGAAAGAAAAAAGTAACCAGTACAGAGAGAGTTCTCATCCATATCCCATGTGCATCCAAAACAAAAAATCTCATGTCTATTGTTTAAAATNTAGAGATGTGTTAGAGTATGTGTGGCTCATATTTGTTTGTGTGCATAATGGCAAGGAGGTAGATGCTGGAGCGGAGCCCGTGACGGCATCTGCCTTACGGGATTTATATAAAGGGGACGCTGATTAGTTGGGGGTGCGGGGGCAATGCCCCCGNTATTTACTTACCCTTTTTGCGGCCGCTGCTGCATTTTTCTCTGGTGGTTCCACAGCTTTGACATCTTTCTGAGCAATGTTTGGCTCTTTGCACTTTGATAGCAAGCAAAAAAAAAAATGGAAGGTAAACACAGCTAATTGAGCATATTGAGAAACCTTAGAAACTTAGTTTCCCAATACCCATTAATAGAGACCTTACCGATTTCACGGCTGCGGCTGCGGCTGATGCTGCTGCATTTTTCTCGTTTGATTTCAAAGTTTTGACATCATTCTGAACAATGTTTGGCTCATTGCACTTTGACAGCAAAAAGAGAAAAAGGTAAACTGGATAATTAAGTATATTAAGTAATGCATTCTACATAAAAATACATGACATCAGTCATCATTTTCTCTCCATAAAATNGAACGATCACAACAGGAATCTAGGAGCGGCAACATTAAAATCATCACCTGGACTATTGTCGCCACTTCTTTCTCCTCTGCATTTGCAACTGACTTGATTTCTTCCACAATGAGAATGGAATTTGAATCCTTTGACCGAAGTGAAAGAAAAAAGTAACCAGTACAGAGAGAGTTGTCATCCATATCCCATGTGCATCCAAAACAAAAAATCTCATGTCTATTGTTTAAAATTCTAGTGTAAACCAAAAAATCAATATGATTATATATATGAGTGCATGTAAGTTAACCATGGAGACACAAATGCAAGTGCATGCCCATGTAGACAGTCATATATATTAGATGCTTGTATATCAAGTTCAGAATAAATGATCCTGTGATTAAATATTACATGCATAGGCTGACCAATTAGGTATGATATATACCAATGACAAGATATTATCATGAGGATCAACAGCAACAGCTCTGAAAAATTTTTCACCAAAAAATGTAGTCCGCATTGATTTGAAGCATTCATCATAGAAACTTGTCATCAAGGCAGGCCATTAAACTTCTAGTTAACCCACTTCCTATTTTAATTGATATAAAGGCATGCCAGATACCTTACTAGCAATGAGTTTCTCCAATGCTTCAGTACCATTCTTTTGAACATATGTCTCAGCCACAGCTAGGAAGGTTTCGGGTTTGAGAGAGACCTCATCCTTAGGCTTATTCAACCACTCGACAACAGCTTGTAGGTCCATGGATAAGCACAGATGAACAAGGCATTTGTAGACATAGTATGCACCGTTAAATCGAGGTATTACTAGCCAGCAGACAAATATTAGCTTTATCTGAGGCCAGAATGGTAGCCTGACATGAATAGACAGAAAACGAAGAGTAATTTAGACCCATTGATGAGAAAACCCAAATCAAAGGTGAACATTTATTGAAAAACTCCAAGCAGTTCGAAAGTAGAAATTACTGAGTATTGATTCACATTTACATCTTTGTACTCATCTAAATGAAGTAGCACTTGTGGAGCTACATGCAACTAAGTGGGGGCAGCTTCCCCCACTCAACCTTTCTTTTTTTGCAAAAAAATTCCTGTATATGTTTTAATATATATGCCAATCTTGCCCCCATCAAAAAAATTTTCATGCACACTAATCCACTTAATCATTCTTCATATTTGGGTTCAATCTCTAAATGTTCAATTAGGTAAACTTAACTAATATTTAATCAGTAGAATCAGCCCAATATGTTCTCAAGAAATATTCCAAAAGCTATTTGTTGTCTCCCTCCTTATGTCTCGCTCACCCACACTCATAGTATTTGCTTGGGATACATTAAGAATGATGATACTATTTGGAATTGATTTGTTTATCTAATTAGCTAACCTAATCTGTTGTTACCCTTTGATTAGCAATGGATCCCAACTAAGGTTGAGATCAATCCAATAGCAACAATTGATTAGAATAGTAAATTAGTTATTTTATGACTATGAAGTTTTTTATGGCATTAATAATGAGGTTATCATGTACTGTTTTTACAATATGAAAACTGGTCTAGAGCAATCATGGATGAACTGAATAAAAGTATTACTAATCAATAAATTTATGTATTAGTGGTTCAATTTTTTATTTTTTATCATTAAAATTTGCACCCACTATCGCAGTTTTCTAACTCCACCCATGTGGTAGTATTTGTGTTCTAACTAGAACCTAAAGTAGAATAAAAGATAACAAGGCACCAATTTCATTCAACTGCAAATAAAACGAATTTAAGGGTGTCCATGACACAAAATTAAAAATTTAGTGAGCATAATGCAACTAACAACAAAAGTTTGCATTTTTGGCAGAATAAAGGTTATGCAGATGGACCAAGATGCTACATTTCTAGAGTGGATGGAAAACGTTTATAAGAAGGGTGCGAAAATGCTGTATCGGGATGGATGTTTCTTTTTTTTTTTTTCCCGCCAGAAACAGAATTGGGTATCAAAGATGCTGGGTTTTATGCCGCTAGTAATATCTTTTCGGACAGGGGAGCAAATGCAGCAATCTGAGATGGGGGCAAAACTGTGATGGTTTGGGATATCCATAAAACCGGAACGTTTTAGGATGTATATGAAAGGTAATACAGTTTAGCAGGAGCCCAGGACCGCATGTAATCTGCAGAATAGGTGAAAGTATTGTATCTTCATGAAATTGTTCATGTAAGAAATGTCACGACTACTGCATAAATAAGCTGTGATTTGGGGAGGCCAGTGAATGTTTACTTCAATATGAACAGCCAAAATGCAGCTTCTGGAGGAGAGGGTGGGAGAGGATATTGCTGTTTTTGACTCATTAACACACGGAATCTGACTTTGAAGGAGTGGAATTTAGGACTAAAAATTCTTGACATAACCCACTAATCCAACACGAAATTGGGACAACGTTTACTAGGCATGGTTTAGTGTCTAACAGTTCTGGATCATAACGAGCCACCAGTCATGCTTACCTAGGCTGACACCATTTCGACTATACACTATACGAACACGACTACACACATTATAAAGAGTTGGATTTGTGTTCAGCATTTTTGACAAAATCTGATTTACATAAAACACAAATGAGACAATAGAGCATAGCAGATGAAAGCTTAAAGTATGTACAATAGAGGATAGCAAAACTAATTACCATTCAATAACTCTCACGAAAGCAAGTTCAAAGAGAGAAATCAAAGAAAAAAGAACCCAATATGAGACCAATTTCCGCATGTGATAGTTTGAATTGGTCTCAATTGCCCGAACCGAAGCACAACTGCCAAGAACAAATAATTAGTACCACCACCAACAACAATGTTAAATCAATTAAACAGTCAAAATTATACCCAAAAAAAAAAA